TCCCTACCCCAACTCTTTCCACTAACAAGACCAGGTTCTTCCTATCTGTGTCCCTTTCATATTTTAGCTTTCTGACATGCTAAGAAGTCATCTTGATATAGACAGGTGAGATGAGAGGAATGCTAAACTGGTATAAAGGTGATAAAATTGTGTCCAATGAAAGCCACCCTCTGAAATTAGAGCAGAGTATAGGACAGGAGGAGGGTGTGACTGGACCACCTCTGTAATTGCTAATCTTCTTATTGGATGGCTCCCTGGAAACCATTTGCCAGTTGGTACAAACTAAAGCAGCCCCTAGGCTACCCTAATTTTTATCAAGGCCAGAAGCATACAGTTTAGAAAACCAGGGAATTGGAACTAGTTTCCTGACTGCATGCTCTCCTCTCCTATTCTGAATAATATTGGCACCAGAGAGCCTACAGTCCAGAATGCCTATCTAGACCCCTCTGGGTCAGTGAGGATCTAGTCGGGGAACTTCTGGAGGGACTGGAGGTATTTAAATCAGCTGGTCCTGATGATCTCCACCCCAGAGTGCTGAAAGGAATTAGCAGAGATCATTGCAGGACCCCTGGCACGGCTTAAGGAACACTCATGGTGCACTGGTGTGGTGCCAGAGGACTGGAAAAGGGCCAATGTGGTTCCCACTTTCAAGAAAGGAAGGAAGGAGGACCCAGGAAACTATAGGCCAGTTAGTCTTACCTTGATTCTGGGGAAGCTTTTTGAGAGAATTATCATAGCGCATGTCCATGAGGGGCCAGCAGGGGAGCTTATGCTTGGGGGCAACCAACACGGGTTCATAAGAGGCAGGTCCTGTCAGACCAACCTGGTGGCCTTCTATGACCAGGTGACAAAATCCTTAGACGCAGGGGTAGCAGTGGACGTAGTCTTTCTGGACCTTAGGAAGGCCTCTGACACTGTCTCTGGTCCCATTCTCATTAAAAAAACTAGGGGACTGGTGTCGACACCTACATAGTCAAATGGGTCGCTAACTGGCTGGAGGGCCGCACCCGGAGAGTGGTGGTGGACGGGTCATTTTCGACCTGGGGGGATGTGGGCAGTGGGGTCCCCCAGGGCTCGGTCCTTGGGCCTGCACTGTTCAACATCTTCATCAGCGACTTGGATGAGGGGGTAAAAAGCACCCTGTTAAAACTTGCAAATGACACTAAGATGTGGGGAGAAGTGGGCACGCTAGAAGGGAGGAACAGCCTGCAATCGGACCTAGACAGGTTACAGGGGTGGGAGGATGAGAACAGGATGGGTGTCAACACTGACAAGTGCAAGGTACTGCACCTGGGGAGGAAGAACCAGCAGCATACCTACAGGCTGGGGAACTCCCTTCTTGTCAGTGCAGAGGCAGAAAAGGATCTTGGAGTCGTTATTGATGCCAAAATGAACATGGGCAGACAGTGTGCGGACGCGGTCAGGAAGGCCAACTGCACCTTGTCGTGCATCCACAGATGCATCTCAAGCAGGTCCAAGGAGGTGATCCTCCCCTCTATGCAACACTGGTCAGACTGCAGTTGGAGTATTGTGTCCAGTTCTGGGCGCTGCACTACAGGAGGGATGTGGAAAACATAGAGCAGGTCCCTTTGGAGGGCAACTCGCATGATCAGGGGGCAGCAGGGCAGGCCCTATGAGGAGAGGCTAAGGGACCTGAACCTGTTCAGCCTCCACAAGAGAAGGCTGAGGGGGGATCTAGTGGCAGTTTACAAACTAGTCGGAGGGGACCAGCAGGCATTGGGGGAGTCCCTGTTCCCCCAAGCACTCCCAGGAGTGACAAGAAATAATGGTTACAAGCTGGCAGAGGGTAGATTTAGACTAGATATCAGGAGGCGATACTTCACTGCCAGGGCGGCTAGGATCTGGAACCAACTTCCAAGAGAAGTGGTGCTGGCTTCTACCCTGGGGGGTCTTTAAGAGGAGGCTAGATGAACACCTTGCTGGTGTCGTTTGACCCCAATACTCTCTCTCTCTTTTTTTTTTGCCCTGCCATGGCTTGACTTGATGATCTGCTCAGGTCCCTTCCGACCCTACAAACTATGAATGCTAGATGCATAGGAGAACATTAATCTTTAAGATGGGCTTTTAGCACGGATAACATTTCTAAGACATCTGTAACAACTCTAGAGCTACTTACCTTTAAGAGTGTAGTCTTGGTTGGGTCCAGCCGTGAGTTGCATTCAACCTAAAGGGCAAAAGGGAAGATCAGATGAAATCCAAAGTGTCAAATACAGAGCAGCAACCACCTTCAGCACCAGAACCATCCAGATAAGCAAATGCCCACCAGTATATTTTTCTCCCCTCATGGAAGGGAGAAGAATGAATTGGATGGCAAGGTAGCAGGTGCAGAATAGTAAAAAAGAAGGGCAGATTGAATGAATGAATGAATGAAAAGCAGCAGAAGTTGACTAGAATAACTTCTTACAAGGACAAACTCCTCAACCTGATCTTTAAACATGCTTCTGTGTTACTTTGACATGAGGAGAACATTACAGAACTGTAAGAATGGGCTGCGGTTGGGAAGGCGGGTGTCCAGGAGACGGCAGCATAGTTTTCACTCTAAAATGTTTGGGAAGCCCTTTGTTGCGGGAAAGGTTGTTGGACAATGATGGCGGGGGGGAGGGAGGGAGGGAATCGTAGTCTGGATGGTGAACTGGGCTGATCAAGTACTCGGATATATTTCTTTAGGCCAGTTAAGTTCAGAAGAGCGGGTAAGGACAGCATGTAGTATAAGGCAGTAAAAGAGTATCTTGTGGAACAGCTAATTTGGATGAACAAGTTATAAAGAAGTCCCAGGAGCTGGGAACCTGATTATTTTATGCTTTGTCACAGCTAGGGAAGCTGAGGCTTGAGAGCATGTCATGCCTCCTCTGCTGTAGACTGAGAAGTAACTGGAATTTCTGGAGAGTTTATCCCAGGTCCACAGTAGAAAAATCAAGGAACTGGACTCCTGTTGTTTTGTTTTGGGAGAGGGCAGGTTTTTAACTGGGGGAAAAAGAAAACAGAAAATAGAGTGGCCAGGATGAGCTTCACAAGGATCTAACTGCTTTCTTCAAGGTACTAGGAATTTCCCAGGTTTTTGCAAGCTTTCTTAAAACAGCAGTGAGGCTATTCCTCCAGTAATTCCTATTGTTTCTATACTGCTACTATGGAGCCCCAAGCCTGCTCATACTTGATGACTCGGGGACATAAGACCTGCCTACTCCCCCTCTCCTCACCATCCCTCAGCTCCTCTATACTGCACAAACCCTATTTGGAGCTGACCTCAAAACAAGGTGGAGAAGAAAAGGTCAGTGTTGGTTCACAGAGGCCAAGTCTGGTCTGAAGGCAAGTAGCTCCTGCTCCTGCATTGGAGTCTGACCAGACAGCTTGTATTCAGCTTACAAGCACTTGTCCAAAGAGGAAGGCTGAGGACCTCTGCCAGCCTGAAATCCCCAGTTGGTCTTGATACAGTACCAAAGGAACAGTAATTCATGATCATGTGAACCAGAGGTCCACACACAGTCTTACAGATCTCAAGGGATCGCACCCTGCAGATACCTGGTCCTGAAAGAATCATGGCCTTAACGGAGCAAGCTCTAAGATGTTCAGGTATAAGGACTTTAGTCAGTTCCTATCAGAAGTGAATAAGTAGCTTCTTCACTTGTAGATCTGTTTCTGAGAGAGCATTAATTCCCTCAAGGGTCAAGAGGGTTAACTGATGACACTCTTGAGATCCAGAGTATATAGCTGACTTCCCCCTGGAAGACCACAGGGCTTTGGGAAATCCGCAGAAGCATTGGCTTTGACAAAGAACAAGCTTTTTTTTTTTTTTTTTTTTTTTTTTTGTTGTGTGTGTGTGAAAAGCTTCTGGAGCACCTCAAAATATCACTTGGTACCATGGTTCACAGAATAAGGTGGCTTTGTCAACTGCTTCCTGGGATATTAGGAGCACTTTTTGAGCAAAATAGGCCATATACACTTACCACAGCTTCCACAGCAGGTGAGCTGTCACCAACCACTAGCAAGGCTGGGCATCTAGGCAAAAACCAATTTTTTTGTTGTGTGTGTGTGAAAAGGCTCTGGATGACCCTAGAATATCACTTGGTACCATGGTTCACAGAATAAGGTGGCTTTGTCAACTGCTTCCTGGGATATTAGGAGCACTTTTTGAGCAAAATAGGCCATATACACTTACCACAGCTTCCACAGCAGGTGAGCTGTCACCAACCACTAGCAAGGCTGGGCATCTAGGCAAAAACCAAAAGAGAAATGTATTCCTTGAAGTAGAGGTGCACTGATACATCAGTCCGATATTGGGTTGGCACTGATATAAAGAAAATTGACTATCGGAAATTGTCCTGATGTGGCCAATTAAATGCCCATGCATGCAGCACCTAGGCAGTGAGGAGCACAGCCCAGCAGCTTGGAGAGCTGCGTGCAGTTGTTAAGTCTATTGTGGTGGAAGAGGAGGAGGGAGGGAAGGAGCAAGGGGGGGGGGGGGGGGGGGGGCCCCCCCCCCCCCCCCCCAATGGTGTGAGTGAGGAGTGGGCTGGGGCAGGTGCTGCCCAGCTGGAGCGGGGTGTGGGACTGAGCTGGGGCTAGTCCACGGGGGCATCAGGGTGGCTGCTGCTGCGTGCACACTGGAAGGGCATGGGGTGTGTACCCCTGGATCTGGGCACGGCAGGCTGCAGCTGCAGGCTGGGGCTAGAGCCTGGCACAGGGTGGGGGCAGGCTGTGCTCAGGATGAGCAGTGGTGGTGCTAAGAAGGGGGATTAGGGGGGCTACAACCAATTTTGGGGTGGCTGCAGCCCCCTCCCAGTGCCACTGCTGCCTGCCCTGAGCACAGCTCGGCCCAGCCCTGACAAGAGCCTGACGCAGCCCCACAGATCCGGGGGCACACCCCCATGCCCTCCTTGGGTGTGTGCAGTAGTGGGAGCTGCCCCCCCCCTCTTCTGGATGAGCTGTGGGGCTGGGGCCACTCCCTCCCTTACTGCAAGGGGCACTGATCTGCCCCCTCCTTTCCTCTCCTTCCTCCACAACAGACTTACCAGCTGGGCATAGCTGTACTGGAAATCAGATTGGTATAGGCCAATATACCTCCTTAAACTGGCTATCGGCCCTCAATCTGGTGGTACACCCCTAACTTAAAGAAACCCTGATGCACTTCGGCCTGTCCCTAGCTACCATGATCAGCTGCAGATAAAAAATAAATAAATAAAAATAAAAAAAAATTTAGAGCTAAATTGATTTGAGTGTAGTCTTCTGAGGAAACAAAGACACACCCAGCTTGATGCCAGTGTGCAAGCCTAAGCCACTGCTATTAGAGCACTCCAACATGCTAAGGTCCTCTCCAGAGTTTACTTCTGCAACGTAGTCCTTGCAACACAAACTGACTATTGCTATTGCCCTACATATAGGTCCCTGCCACTCATTACCAATATTACACAATTAATTGGTTAATTGTGCAATAAATTTAGATTGGCTACATGTGCAAAGTAATTATCATGCAATAAAAATGTATATCCAGATACAAAAACAGCCAACCAGATACAAAGTCAGTGCTTGAAAAAGTGTAACAACTCTATAGCTTGTTTCTATCCAGCTTTAATTTGAACATGTGGCAGGGCTGAAGCAGGTATGTATGCAGAGGAAGCATTTATACAAACCAGAATATGGCATTGAGGCATATTTACAAATCAAACGTTTTCACAATATAATCACATGCAGTGTATGTGCACTGTAACACAGAATAAAAGGTATCAGATTTACCCAAAGAACCTTTTCTGCCTGTAACATTGGGTGTTTAGAAAAAGCTAAAAGCTAAGTGCAGCTCTGGTGTACTTTGGCTTAGAGTAGACTAAAGTATAGTGATGTCCAAAGTTGCATCAAAAGCTTTAATGTAAAAACTTCTGATGACCGGTATATTCTTCACCTTTTTAATTTGACAAAAGGCCTCATTTCACAGCGCTTACTGAGTATATAATTGAAATAATACGAATTTAAACTAAAACAAGTCCAGTGAAGGGTACTATGATGACTAGGGGAATGGAGCACCAATCTTGCATAACAAACTGAAAAAGCTTGGCTTGTTTAGCCTAGCAAAATGTAGGTTGAAATGGGATTGGAGTGCCCATTATGAAAACATAAGGTGGTAAAATAGAGGAGACAGAGAAGAGCTGGCCTAAGAATAAATGGATACAAACTGGTCCTGAATCAATGAATGTTGGAAAATAGCGGGGTCTGACCATCAGAGGAGTAAGACTTTTAAAATAATTTTCCAAATAAGTCTCATGACCCTGCTACTTCTAATTCTTTTTAAAACAGACTTCAATCAATTTACAAAAGGGATTACATGATGTGGTTGTCCTCATCAGCAGAGGACTGGATTCAATCGCCCAGGAAGCCCCTTTCCTGTCCCATGCTGAGATTTCAAATGGAGCAACTCAAACCTCACAGAGCTAGTCCTTCAGGCAGTCTGTAAACTGAGCACAGCATTTAACTGTGTGTGTGTAATTTGGTAGTGCTGGGGTGATGTCATAGCTGGTATAGTCCAGAATATACATGAGGGGCAAGGACTTTTGTAGGCGATATCTTTTTATTGAAACAACTGTTGTGTCAGGTTACAGGCAGCCAGGTCTACAGGTCACCCAGGGTCAGAAGAAACATAAAGACCTGAAGGGAGCCTGCAGAGTTTGAATGTAGGGAACCCAGGAAGCCAGAAAATCTAAGAGGAACTGAATCGGAGATCCAGAGAGACAGGCAGAGCATGGGGTCGGGAGGCTAGCTAGATTGGCTATCTGGGAGATCAAACCAGAGTCAGGTTAGGGAGCCAAGGGTCAGGCCAAACTCATGGTTCATGAGCAAGCCAAGTCAGAGAGCCTGAGAACCCATCAGAGAACTAGTAGAGGCACAAACCACAGGTAAGATGGCCAGGATACAAGATTGAGCCTTGTTGCCCAGACACTTCCTCTTCTGGATCAGGGGTTTTTATAGGAAGGGTTAAAAAGTCAGCTGACACTGGCTGGCCACTCCAGTTACAGGGAGGGGGTGCGTGGATAGGTCCAGATACTGGGTTCTGACCACCCATGTCCATCCAAATGCTGAGTTGAGGAGGCAGCAGATTAGGATGAGTGGCTGCACCAGGCAAGATGAGACCTCCACGTTCAAGTCCATGGCCTGACATCAACTGCATGGCTGGGATAGATTTAGACAAACTTTTGAATGTAATGCATTCTTGTTCAGGTCTGAGTGCCGCACAGGAAAAGCAAGCACAGTGAAAATTAAAAACAGCTTGCAAGGCTGTGAAGCTAGAGAAGAGACATTTCAAGGTTTAGCAGACAAGCTAGTCACAGAAGAAAGGACAGCTTGATCAAGACCTTTTGAAAGGGAAGAAGGTAATTCTCACCTCTAGTGTGAAAAAAGATCATCAGGAGCCCGATAGATTATTATATGCCATGAAGTCAATATCAGTGTTCAGTCTTTAGAGTTCTTTGTGTCCAGTCAGTTTATGAATTCTTGTTCCTGCTAGCTTTTTGAAGGTATTTTGCAAATTGCCCTTGAGCTTGAGGACAGTGAGGTCATGAGAAGCTGTTCTGTGAAAACTGTTCTATATGTTTGTGTCTTTCCTTAATCTTTTTTCTGTGATTAATTTATTTTGGTTTGTAGTTTGTCTCATTTTGCTCATATAGTTCCCATGTGGGCAGAGACAACCCTAGCAAGATGTGGGGCCTGGGACAAATCAGCCTGTGTGAGGCCCAGATGTGAAGAAGCCAGCGATGGAGGGGGGTGGTGGCAAGTGGCCAGATGTAAAGCTGGTGGTGGTGGCGCAGAATCACCAGCTCTAGGCTCAGCTCTGCAGGGCCCCCCAAAGTGCAGGGCCTAGAGCAATTGCCCTGACTCGCACCTCCCACCCCCAGGGATTCCCTGCATGTGGGCATCTAGTACACTGGATGATATATACAATATTTTGGGTTAAGCATGTATAGGATCTGTGGATTCTGATGGGTCCATTGTTGGATGGCATTGATCGTTGTGGCATGGGAGATGTGTTGACAGGTTTGGCATCTATTGTTATGGCAAGGCTGTCCCATTTGATGTCTGTTAAACAGTGGAGAGTTTGCTTCTAATGATGAGTTGAGGTTAAGGAGATATTTAAAAGCTAGGAATGGAGGGCCTAAGAATCTCTCTCTTAAGGTCTGATCTTTATTGAGTAGAGTATAGGGTATAATGGGTTGATGATTCTTGTTAGTTCAAGTATGGCATGGCTGGTGACCACCAGGAATATGTGGTCTTTTTGTATTGTAACAGGTTCCTGTGTGGTATTTAGATGGCTCTTTCAAAGATGAACTCTATTTCTGTGTCAGTGTGTCCTTGTATAAAGTCAGATTTCAGGTTGGCAAAATGGGTATCATGAGTACAGGTTTCCCTTGCTTTATGCGGGTTCTGTATGTGCAAATTTGCTCTTATGCATTGACCTTTTTATACCAAAAATTCGTTATATGCGAGGCAAATTCACTCTTATGCAATCAGTGTGGTGGAAGCCCGCAGTCAGCTGCCTTGCGTAGTGCATTGTGGGAGTGAGGCACACCAAAATAGGCTCCTGTGTGGATCTGTACTCCTCGCTCATTGTCTGTGACACGTGTTTCTGTAGTTGCCATCCCTATTATGGTAACATTCACCACCACCCTGTGCTTGTGTGTACTGTCTGCTGTTGGCGAGTACCAAAATTGTCTTGTAAAAGTGGTAGAAATGGGTCTGGGTGTCAGTACTGTTGTGGTCTTGGAACATATCCCTATTTGTTACATTGTAAAGTGAGTTCCCTTTATGCAAACCTGAGTTATGCACTGTTTTCCAGGAATGCGTGTACAGCATAAAGCAAGGGAAACCTGTATTTTCCTCAGAGCAGTTGTGGTGGTATCTGAGGGCCTTACTGTAAATTACCATTTTTTCAGTATGTTTGGGATGATTGCTGGTTTTGTGGATGAGGTCTGTGGCTTTTTGTATATAATGGTTTGTAGGGTGCCATCCTGTATGCAGATCAGGGATGGGCAAGATACAGCCCACTAGGCCATTCTATCTGGCCCATGGGGGCCCCTAAAAAATTTAGAAAACTAATATTTATCTGCCCCAGGCTGCCTGTCATGCAGCCCTCGATGGCTTGCCAAAACCTAGTAAGCAGCCCTTTGCCTAAAATAATTGCCTGCCCCGATGTAGACTGTAGTATCTAAAAAGTTGATGTTAGTATTGAAATATTCCAGAGAGAATTCTCTCGAGTGGTGATAGTTGTTAAACTAGTGGTGGAAGTTGGTAAGTGAGTCCAGGTATTCACACGATGAATATATAATCTATGTAATGCAGGTAGAGTGCAGGTTTAATGGAGCAGTTTTCTAAAAATTTCTTCTCCAGGTGGCTCATGAAGTTGGCATATGGAGGAGCCATATTTGTACCCATAACTGTGCCTGTTTTGGAGGAAGTGTTAATTGTTGAAAGTGAAGCTGAGTGAGGATGAAGTGGATATGTTGTGCAACATGTTGTAAACCTGTGTGTACTAAATATTCACGTAAGTATTTCATGCAGGCAGCTATGCCTTCATGGTATGGGATATGTACAGGCTGGTGACATTGATAGTTCCAAGCACAGCTTTCTTGGAGGTGGCTGATGTTCTGGACCTTGTTGAGAGTCTGTTGGCTTGTAGAAAACTCAGTGTTTGAGTGACAGGTCATTTCAGGGTGGTTTCTATGAATCCTGATAGCTCTTCAATGAGGATACTGCAGTTGGGTATGATGGGTCTGTGTGTAATTTGAGTTTGGTATGCTGTATTCACAACCAAATGCTGCTAGAAAGGGCTGCTTCTGAAAGTCCAGATTCTGGAATATTAATTTAACGACAAACTTATCAGACTAGAGATCACACTTTGTAACTTCAAAGGGACCTACTAATTTGTCAGTGCTCCCCCTGATTTTTGTGGTCTGAGTGCAGTGCTGGTCGCCATTGGAGTGCAGAGGGTCTCCCCTTTTGCCTCGGGCCAAGAGGCCTTAAGTCCCGCCCCTCCCTGGAGATTGACAGATGGCCATCTGTCAATCTCTGGAAAGGGGAGGGACTTCCAGGGCCCCTTGGATAATCAGAGGTGTAAAAAGGCCTCTCCGCCCCTCAGTGGAGCCTGACAGATGGCCATCTGTCAATCTCCAGGGAGAGGCAGGACTTCTGGGGCCTCTCAGCTAATGGGGGGGGGCAGCTGCCATCTTTCACTATGAAAACTGCCCTCTCCGCTTTAGGATACCAAGGCTTCCTACTTCTGTTTTCAGGTCCCTTCCCCACTTGCTGGCCATTTTACAGCTTCTTTGCAGTCCCTGTGCTTTTTTGCTGGGACCAGCTTTTTCATGGGGGACCCACCAAATTTGCGGCTTCCGTGAAAATTGTCATAGGAGAAAAGCATATTAAGCTCCTTCCTGTGAAGTGTGGGCAGTAAAAGGGGGAACTAGAGAGCTTCTGCCTGTAGCACTTAAGTAGGTGGGTATTGTCTGGGTTGGATTCTCTTCTTGCTTACAGTAGTGGTGGGGGTGGTTAGGCTGTCCATCAAAGTTAATACGGTTCAGCCCCTAGATGGTGGTTAGGTTTTCCATCAAAGTTAATACGGTTCAGCCCCTAGATGCCTACAGCATTTCCTGGAACAGATCATCTGCAGTTTCACAGTTCACAGAATACTCAGGCCTACAACAGTTCCACCCCTTGGCAGATCTTAGCATTCAGACGTGTACGGACCCCTGAGGAAAGTGTGAATCAGTACAGGTAGTTCTGTTTATTGGATATGCTCCTCCCTTAGCTACTGACCTCCTCACCACCCAAATTTAATTTTTACATTCCTCTACAGCAGTGGTTCTCAACCTTTTTTGTACCAGGATCAATTTATAAACATCAGTGGCCAGTCCCAAGTCAGTACTCCTCACTACCAGCTTGCTGCCCCCAAGCCCCAGCCCCTCAGTGTTTTTAAAGTTTGTTGATCCATTTCTTAAAGTTTGTTCATGAACCTCTCTTTTTCCTCGCGACCCATGGGTTGAGAAATGCTGCTCTACAACATCCCGTTTTCAGCTTGCTCAGGCTGCCACAGAGTTTCTCTCTGTTCTCCATATCTACCTGGCCCTGGAAAAAATCCTGCTCCTTGCCTCGCCCATTCCCTGCAGCTGCCTTCTCTCCCCAGTGGGCTACTGTGAAGATCTCCATGCTCCCTGCCATTCTTCTCTACCTCAGCCCTTGCTAGAGGTAAACAAATAACTGATTTTTGCTTTATTAGGGGGAAAAAAAAGCATTTCAAGTTCACTTGAATTAAACTATTTTTCATTTTTTTCCCTCCTATAAATAGAAAAAATTTGTCACATATCAAACAAAATCATTCTGTTCAACCTGAATCAGAATATTTGGATTCAGCAGTATTTTTGATGTTTTTCTTGAAAAAAGTCAAGCTACATTTAAAAAACAAAAACACCCAACAACAAAAACATTGTTTAAAAATGTATGTCTAAGACGCATAGACGGACTGATTCAGAACAACTTACTTGAGTGTTTTTGCTGTGTTTTCATTGATGCCCAAAACTGGTCTCTCAATTTCCAGGTCTCTACGACTGGAAGATGAAACAGAACAATTTTCCATCATACTACACGGGGAACCCTGCCATGGTACAAGGGCACTTCTCTGGAAGAGGGGCTGTGGAAGGAGATGATGCAGCTACCTCCCAGTTGAGATCTGTATAAAAAAGTGACTAACATCTTCCAAAAGGACTCTGATGGTAAAACCTAGCAGAATGCTTCAAACCACAGGCATGCCCTGCTGCTCAGGGTTAGGACCAAATAAGAAAATGGGGCCTGGTCTCTCCAGGCTTTAATAACAACATAGGCCTGGTTCGAAAAGGGACGGTCTACCACTGCCACCCAGTTTATTCAGTAGAGCAAAGAGAAAACACTGATTTGCATTTTCAAGTCATAAGCTGTGGAGAACAGGAAGGAGACTCAAGGTATAATGTTAGCCCTTTTGTCCCAAGGACTAGGCAAAATGCTACTGAGACTCTGTATTTAAATAGAAACAGCACTCTTCTGAGCTGGCTTTGTTTACTGAACCAGGGATAGAACAGGGCTCAGCTGCAGATAAATAAAGGCTAAGGAAACTAGACCTATGGTGGTAGGAGTCATTATGAGATGCTTCAGAGTACAGCAGGTGGAAGGCTGTACACATTAGATGAGTACTTCCTTGTCTTGGGACTGTCTCCTGTGCCTTGTGCAGCCATGGGGTGCAGTAACTGTAAAACTGGCTTTGTACGCACAGGCAAAATAAGAGTTTTGTACCTGTTATATGAATTAAGAAACAGCTGAAGGTTATCTTGGTTAATGTCCTGTGCAATGTGAAGTCTGTATGTCTGAATCAGGTCCAGATTTGCCTGCAGTTCCTCCTATGGAGAAAGGATACAGTTAAAAAAGGCACAAAACAACATTTAAAAATCCTATCTGGGAAATGAACTTTGTTGAATATGCAACCGTGTACAAATCCCAGATAAATCATTCACCCACCATCCCATCCCCAACAACCAAAATGCACAGATCCTACAATGTGTTAAATTCTGGGTTACACTGAAAAGATTAGCACTGAACTTCATCTTGTTAGCTCTAACACTGCTTTCCAATCAGTCAGGATTCTTCTGAATCCTGACTCTGAATCGACTCTATGCGACGCTGGTCAGGCCGCAGCTGGAGTATTGTGTCCAGTTCTGTGCGCCCCATTTCAGGAGGGATGTGGACAACATGGAGAGGGTCCAGAGGAGGGCCACCCGCATGATCCGGGGACAACAGGGCAGACCCTACAGTGAGAGACTGCGGGACTTGAACCTATTCAGCCTCCACAAGAGAAGGCTGAGGGGGGACCTGGTGACCGTCTATAAACTCACTAGGGGGAACCAGAAGGGTTTGGGGGAGACGCTGTTTCCCCTAGCCCCTGCTGGCATAACAAGGAGTAATGGGCACAAGTTGATGGAGAGGAGGTACAGATTGGACATCCGAAAAAACTACTTCACAGTCAGGGCGGCTAGGAGCTGGAACCAACTTCCAAGGGAGGTGGTGCTGGCCCCTACCCTGGGGATCTTTAAGAAGAGGCTGGATACTTACCTGGCTGGACTCATTTGAGTCCCGTTTTTGTTTTTAGGGTGAGTGGTTTTGTTTGTGTTTTTGGGTTGTTCTCCCGCCCTGGCGGGGGGTCGGGCTAGAAGATCTATTAGGTCCCTTCCAACCCTAAAACTATGAAACTATGAAACTATAAATTATGTGCATGTGTATTTGAAATCCTTCCCAGTTTCTTGTCACCTACAAATATACTCGAGAATCTCTCCATTTCAATATTCAGATTGTTAATAAACATGGGCCCCAGGACAGATCTCTTAGGAGCTCCACTCAAAACCTCCTGCCATGTTGACATGGATCCATTTATAATTACCCCTTGATTGCAGCTATTGAATCAGTTGTCAGTCCATCTTGTAGTGCGTTATTTACTTAAATACAAGATGACTCTGAATATAAGATGACCCCCCCCCCAGTAATTAGATTTCATATATGGACAATGTATAAATGTGTTATAATTGTCCAGGTACAACATCTAAGTATTGGAGGGTTGTTTTGAATCCCCACCCCTACTGCTACAGCAGAGAAAGCAGGGGCTAGTGGTGGGGGGTGGTGCTGTCCGGTGTCTCCCTTGCCCTCTGCCCCAACCTACTTCTGACCCCTGGAGCCTTCCTCTTTCACCTGCACCTGACCACCCCAGCTCTCCACAGCCTTTGCCCCCTCCCCCCCTCATTCTCCTCAGTCTCTACCTCTTCTCCCCGCCCCAGCAACTTTATTGTCAGATGCTGCTCCATCCTGGAACACGACACATGGAAACTCAGCCCTTGCTTGGCCATGCAGCAGTGTTGGCGCTGCTGACTGGCCAGGCAGGCAATGAACCAGTGTCAGCACTGATGATCACCTCAGCAGAAGAAGGACAACTCGTTGGGAAGAACTCCTCTGCTAGTTCCTTCAGTACCCTGGGATGAAATTTTCCACATGCTCTGTGCCGGGAGAGACCCCAGGCCAAGCTGGAGCCAAGCTGCCCCTGATGGGAAGGAGGAGGGGAGAGGAGGCGGTTTTGGGTCTGACTCTGGCCCCAACCCAGGTTCACAGTCAGTCAGTTGTAGCAGCTGCCTGCACCTCTTTTACTTCATATGCAAATATAAGAGGAGGGGCTTTTCCTCCCATGCTAGTTGGGGGCAAAAACCCCTCATCTTGTATTCAAGTAAATGCGGTAGCTTTCTCTAGCCCACATTTCTCCAATTTGCTTATGAGAAGGTCATGTGGGACTGTCAAAAGCTATACTTAAATCCAGATACAGTGATACACTACATACACTGCCTACCTTTCATCCACCTAGCTAGTTTTTCAACCAAGATGATCAAGGTTGTTTGGCATGATTTTTTCTTAGCAAATCCATGTTGGCTGCTTGTGATCAGCCTTTCCTTCTCCAGATGCTTGCAAGTAAACTTCCTTATGATATGCTTCAGTAACTTCCTAGGTATCAAGGCAAGGCTAACTGCTCTTAATTCTTCAGGTCCTCGCTTTTGCCTTTTTTTAAAGAGGAGCACTATATTGGCTTTCTTCCCAGACCTCTGCTACGTTACCTGTTTCCCATGACTGTAAATTTTATCGCCTAGGGCTCAGAGATCTCTTCTGCTAGTTCCTTCAGTACCCTAGGATGAAATTTATCAGGCCCTGCTGACTTGAGCAGAGAATGTTGTTCCTGGGAGAAAGGAGTGGATGGAGTCCAAGTAAGGACAGAGGGAACTGGAATGGCACAATAAAGTTGTTGGAGTGAAACTGTCTGTGATGCTGTTTGGGACACTGGCACTCTGCCCCCGCCCCTTCTCCCCTTCTTCAAAGGTGAAAAGAAGATTTCTGAGAGGGGTCCTATGAATTTCTGGGAAAGCTAGGGATAAAGAAGAGCAAATGTCTCAAGCTCCTTGCCGCTTATGAAAGCACACCAGTGCTGGCTTCAAAGTTGTCCTGCTGGAAAGAGACTAAATAAGCCGTCGTCTTTGTGAGTCCAGAAGCAAAGCTTTCCAAGAAATGGGCACAATCCATGACACCTTTATATCCTCCAAACAATTCTTCCCTATTAGTCAAGACAAGATTCAAGATAGATGGTTCCCTAGTTGTACCCTCAACTTCCTGAATCAGAAAGGTATCTTCCACATGAATCAGGAACTTTCTCAATATTTTATGTTTGCTGTATAATTCTTCCAGCAGATATCTGAAAAATTGTATTAATACCATCTAATACCATTGCACAACTTTTGGATAACTGTCACCTCCTTGAAGAGCTCCTCAACCACCTCTTCTTCCTGACTTGGTTGTCTATAACAACCCCCCACCATTATATCATTATACCTTTCTTTTTTTATTGTCACCCATATACATTCCGATATGCTACCTTCTTCCTCCTGAATTAGGGAACAAGTGTTTTGTATTTTTGTGGTATATAACAACACCATCATTTTTTCTCCAAATCCTGTCCTTCCAAATCAGAGTGTACCTTTTAATGTTGAACTTTTCAGTCATAATAATTGTCCAACAAAGTCTCTGTTATACCAATCAGGTCATAGTTCTTTTCACAGGCTGTGACTTTCCAGCTCATCTTGTTTGTTTCCCATACTTCTCACATTTGCACATATATATTGGGCATTTTTTGTATTTTGACCTACTTGTTTCTCTTTTGCATTTCTTACTGCTGTCTAGTGGCTCTGTGGCCCTTCCCCTGAGCTCAGCTTTTCTGGTCCTCTCGTCTCTGGATTTTTTGCTTTGCTGCTGGAGGGATTTTTTCACTATCCCCCATGGAATCTAGTTAAAGCCCTTCTTACTAGATTGGCCATATGATGCCCAAAGACGCATTTTCCAGTTCTGGGCTGATTAGTACCCATCTCTTGGTAGCTGTCTTCCTCCCCGGAACATTTGCCCATTGTCAAAGGATCCAAAGCCTTTATGTTGCCAACACTGTCTCAGCCACATGTTTACTTTCCTGATGTAATGGTGCCTGCCTGGGCCCTTACTTTGAACTGGGAGCACTGATGAGAATACCATTTGTGTTCCAAGCTACTTAATCTTCCTGCTCAGTGTCCAGGGAAGCAGAAAAGAGGGATAGACAATTCCTGGCAAATTTTTCTGTGACATCTTGAATATGGACTCCAGGCAAAGAGCATACCTGGAACCCAAAATCTGGGTGACAAATTGGTAATTATGTCCTCTGCAGAAAGGAGTCACCAAAAACCACCCCTCTCTTCTTCCTTCTTGGTGAAGTGCTCTTGGAGCCCTCCCATCCCTGGGGCCCTGCATTTCTTTCCTTTTAGACTGCTGGGCCCTCTAATCTTTGCCTGCCAGTGTCTTCACTTCTGCTTTTTTCCAGCTGCAATACTGCAGAGTGCCTGAAAGTGGTTAACTTCAATCTGTTCCTTTTGAATTCAGGGGACCTCACCTTCTGGCAGGCACATGCTGATACTTCTCTTCTTTTCTCTTTGGCCTCTCCTTTGCCAGCTTCTCATGATTTCTATCCAAGGATTCTTCATTTTCCCTGATAGTATGCAGCATAGACAGCTGTGTTTCCAACTCTTCAGTCTTTTCCTCAAAGACGGGACACCAACTTACTCTCAGTGCAAATGAAATGTTTCTAGACTCCCTGGGAGGAACACAAACACAGTACATCCTGTGCAAGTAACAACTGCTGATCCCATCTCTATTTATGCCTCTTATGCTCCCTAGAGCAGGGGTTCTCAACCTTTTTCTTCCTGAGGCTCCTCCTAGAATGCTTTAAAAACTCCATGGCCCATCTGTGTCAAAACAACTGCCATACTCCCCAAGCCCATACACAGAGCCTAGGTGCAGCGGGTGAGGCTCGGTGGCAGGGAGCCCTGGGGCCCCAATCACCTGAGCAGCAGCAGCATGGAGCCTCACCCACAGCGCTGCCTGCAAGATGGAGACTGTGGGCCTAGGTTGGGTGGACCCAGGCCCACCCTTGCCCCTTCCTCAGGACTCGCCTCAGCCCCAGGGGTATGAGGCGGCTCCTCCCTGTGCCACGCCAGACTGGGCTGACCCCCTTGAAACCTGTTCACAGCCCCCCCCAGGGGGCCACTTGACACAGAGCAACAAGCACAAAGCCTGTCAAGTAGTCACTCCATAACAAGAACAAGTCAAATGCACAGACACCACAAGTCAGGCACCTAGAATTTCTGGTCTTCAGACCACCACCTCCCAGAAAAGCCTTCTTACAGTAGAGTTCCACTGCTGAGCTGCTCCTCCTCTCCTCACAGCAGGTCTTAGGCAAACTCCCTCTCAGCTGGTTCATGTTATTTCACTATCATCCTAATACCTCTGGATTACACAGATACTTCCACTGAACTCAATGGAACCTGCTGGTCTCCTCAGTATACCTGTCTGGAGAAATGCCAGGGCAAGCATGCACAAAGCATATGATTATCTGAGACTCCCTTAGTAAGCCAACAACATGTCGGGTCTTGGGGCAACTTTAATCACTAGCTAAACAACTTCTATGGCCTTCTGTGGGTCTTAAAGCCTAACTCAACTTACCACTCCTATCTACAGCAGCTTGTTAGTCCAAAAAAAGAAATTTTATAGCAACTTTCCCTTTACTGAATAGCTGCTAAAGTAGTCATGCCTGGAATCAAGTGATTGTTTTCTAAAGCCAAAGACCAGAAGGAAAAAATCTGGATACAAGGATCTCCATCAGAACACTGTGTCTTAGAATACCTCTATTTACCAGGACATTGATTTTCAGAACTTGCCCCAATCACTCCATTTCTGAAAGAAACAAGCAATGGAAAAGCCAAGAAACAAGCCAAAGAAATAAGTGATGGAAAAGCCAAGTGATTTGGCTATGTAACAGGGAGCCAGAGGCTCCTGTTACTTTAAGGGGAGAAGCAGCAACAGGGAGGTTTCCCAGGTGGGAGAAACATTGCCCTTGCTGAGCTAGCTGCAGAAGAACAGGCAGCCAGGGGAAAAACCAGAGGCTATGAGTACCTATTGCAGGGCTAGTTGCTCTGCAATAGTAAGTTGGGCAGATCCCCGCTACAGGCAGCTAGAACTGCTAAAGCAGTCAGAGCAGCAGTTGCAAACTTCCCAGGAGTTAGTCATTAGGTCCTAATTGTAAAGCCCTGTGGGTGACTGGAGGGCCACCTGACTGGAAAGGGCAGGGCGTGAGAGCTATATAAGCCCAGGGCCTAAGCCAAGCAAAATGTCTGTCCCTGCAGGTGGAACAGCTCTGCAGCAAGATGGCTGTTGCTGGGTGACTGGCTGCAATTGTGCTATGCCTAAAAACAGAAAATAAGGAGATGTGGGCTGGCAGAGGACTAGGACCCAGAATGGGTAGGGGTTTTGGTATACAGCCAGTGAGTTAAGAGTTTTAGTTATAGCCAGACTGCTTACATTTTTTGTTTGATTCACCAGTGGGCTGGCTTGTGACTGGTAGTGGAGGTCAGAGATCACAGTGCAGGGAGCACAAGGGCTTGCGCCTGCCCAGGGACAGGGGCTCAAACCACAGTGGTGATCAAGGGGCATGAGAAGGTTTTGGGCCCTGCCGGGGGCTGGGCTCAAGGTGAAAGCAGGCAGAGGCTGAGAGGGCCAAAGCCTAGGCAAGAGGGATAGGGAGAGGAAAGGTGGCCTGAAGCCAAGAAGGCTAGGGCTGGAGCCTGAGAAGGATAGAGACATGTCTAGGGGCCAGTGCCTAAGGAGGTCAGAGTTAGGGTCAGAGGCCCAGAGTCCGATACAGCAAGACAGGGGTTGGAGCCCAGAAGCCAGGTACAGTGCACTAGGCCTAGGCTAAATGGAACCAGCGAGAGGAAAGGAGCGGAGGCTGAGATAGCTAAGGCTTCAACAAGGGTGTGGAGGCCTGAAGTGACTGGACACTGACTGGGGAACAAAGCGCTCCACCTAAATATTAAGTGGTAACAGCTGCAAGGCATAGATTTAACTACGGGGGTGGCTGGAGGTCACAAAGCTCATAAAGCAACAGATGCCCTGGGGCACAGATGGGCCAGGAGGGCCCATGGCCCACTTAGCCTAAGTGGCTAAATTGGGGATAGTGGGGTCCGAGGGGGCCCTTCTGGATGCAGTGCCACAGAGGGCTTGCTTTGGGACTCTGGGACAACCTCCCTTTTTGCAATCAAACTATTCCAACAAAGGCATGGCAGGTGGGGAAAAAGGGGAGAATACCTAGAGAGCCAGAGTAGGGCAGGAGATGCATGGCCACCCCTAAGGGGCTAGATCCTGTTATAGGCTAAAACAAGAAAACTTCCTAGCTCCACCCAAATTCAGAGATGTTCCTTAGGTAAATTCCTAGAACATAAAGGTTTCATAGTAAGAAACAGGGAGAGAACTGAACATTATATTTTTTCTGCTTTTGCCAGAAGCCAGTGGAGACTTGTTTTGCACTGGAATCACAGAAAAATGGGAGATGAGATTTTTGTCTTTAAGGCTCAAATTTGCACTGGTGGCCAATGAACTGCTGCTTCTCAACAAGTTCCTAAACGCAGACAAGATTTCAGCTGTGAGACTGGCATCTGTATGTGGTAATTGCTTCTTAGATGCAAGCAAGGCACTAGGAATTTTTACGAGAGAGTGGAATTTTCATTTCATTTCCTTCCCTGATCTAAGGAATGAACTAAATCAGCAAAGAGGGCAGGTGATAGGATGTGGATAGATGTCAAGGGCACAAAGTCCTGGTTGCAGGGTTGCCCAGTTGAGAAGCTAGGACTGGTCTGTGGTAACCCCCTCTTTGGAGGAGTAGATATAAGTACAAAGGACAAAGCATACATTTCACTAGTACTGGCAACTCTGCAGTAAAAAATTACTTACATGACCAAAATGGTGAGCCAAGGCAATGTCCACTATGTTGGTTGTCCAGCCTGAAAGCTAAAGAGGAAACAAAACCATTTCATGCTATTTCGCTACAAATATCTACATAAATCTTGAAAAGTAAACACAGTGAAATAATAAAATGCAGAACTAGCTATAAAGGATGGGAAATGATTTCCAAAAAATTTGAGAGGAGTTTGGTTCATGTAAGAGGAATACATAGGATATAGCTGTCTGGAGAAGGCTAGATCTTTAAAAAAAAACCCTGCAACTGCAGACTAATACCATAGTCAAAAAAGATGTTGCATATCCCACCTGCCACACAAGGGCTTGAGCGCAGCACTAACCCAAAGGAAAGCTAACTGCTGAATAACTATCTTGCTTCCTGTTGTATTCCATGGTTTCCCATTTATGTGTGACCAAACCTATCCTGCCTGATCATGTGAACAGTAGCAAACTCAGCCTTCAGGGAGGCTGCAAGGTAGCAGCATGAAGGACTGCAGTCTGCACTCTGACAAACTTCCTGCCAGGTCTATTTTCTTTGTAAAATACACATCCCCCTTCAGGCACTGCAAGGAGGGTACACTTAGAGAAAGAAGCGTCTCACCTTGGCTGTTGCCCAGTCAATCCAGCCTTTTGCACATGGATCAATATTAATAAGCACAATCCCTTCCACCAAGTCTGGGTGATTCAGCTGAAATGAGACAGCATGTGCATACTGAGCAGTGTGCGACGAATTTTTAAGTCAGGGAGAGAAAAAATAGGTCTGAAGGCAAGGAAACATTGTGAAATGAAGACGCAACAAAATAAGAAATAAAACTAACTGAAAACTTGTGTGGGATGGTCATGATCAGTATTCCTGAGCACCTAAGCAGTAGCTTTGCCCCATTTAGGTGAGGGGAAACTGAAACAGAAAAATGTGGTAAACTTCTGAAAGTCAAGCCTGGAAGCTGGAAAGAAAACTAGAAGAGAAACCCAGTTCTTGCCATTGCATCATTCCACTTTCTGTGAGTGCAGGCCCAAAGCAGAAGGGGACCCTGTACATGTCACGGGATTTAATCCTAATTAACTTAAACAGGTTTATAACATTTAAACTTGTTTATTTTGGAGCATTGTGTCAGTGTTTGCATGCACTGGGCTTTCGAACAAATTAAGCCCGGTATGCAATTCCCTGTAAATTCCAGCAGGGTGGGAGCCAAATACCTATCTACCCAGGTGCTGTCTTCCGTATTGAATTCCAGCAGAGGGTGCAATTTTCACCACAATGCGTGATCAGTAATCAGAGTCCTCAACAGAGACCTAGAATGTCTTCACTGTAGAACAGTTAGAAGAAGTAGTGAAATGGATTTAAAATCAGGCATGGGGACAGGAGGCAGTACATGCACAATGTCTACACTGCTCTGCTAGCATATGCGTCTCTGACTGGAAGAGACTACAATATGTTAAAACCATTTAATAAGTACATTTTATACGGCAGCCAGACATGCCCCTCATACCTGTGACCAATATTAAGTTAAAATTGAAATCACTGGCAGCAAGAAGCAAACGTAGCCATCTGCTGGTCCCTGATGTCTTTCCCAGCCTGCTTGGACTATTGGTCTTTCACCACAGCAAAACTGCTTATATTGTTTTAAAATCTGAACTGCAGGATTTAAAAACTGGATTTTTCCTTCAAAGATTAAATTAAATATACAGGCTTATGCCAAGATTCCACAACACTACTGCTGCCTATCATGAGAATGGAATAGGGCAGGGGTTTTCAACCTTTTTTAATGAGTGTACCCCTTCTGGGTACATTTCTGGTGGAGCAGGTAGGGGGTGGGAGTCTCACATTCGGTGGCCGCACAGGGTGGTGGATGGTGGCAGTGGCCACCGTGTACAAGCTCCCCAACCACCCCCATGTCCGGATGGGCAGGTGGTGCCTGTGTGGCCCAGAGGGGAGCTGCTGTCCTCGCCCCCCTCCCGCCCCTGCTCCTGGAAGGCAGCGGCTCAGGGTGGTGGGTAGCGGTGCTCCATCCCTGCCCCAGCTAGTGATCCTTTGCATTGGACAAGACTCTGTTTCATATATAGGTTGTTGGCAATGAAACTGTTTTCAAAATGGGTAGCAACTAGAGGTACACCAATATATTGGTTCAATATCGGATTGGTACCGATATAAAGAAAATTGTCTCTATCAAATATTGGCCCAATGCGGCCAATAATTTGGCTGATAAATGCCCGTGCTGCGTGCAGCCACAGCGCAGCATGGAGCAAAGCCGGCAGCATAGAGAGTTGCCTCCAGCTGGTAAGTCAGAAAGGGAGGAGGGAGGGAAGGGGCATGGGAGGCAGATCAACACCCTGCGTGGTGATGGCAGGGGCAGGAGCTGCCCAGCTGGGGCAGGGGAGGGGGGTGTGTGTGGGACAGAAGCGTGGCTCGTGGGGTGGGAGCAGCTCCTGTCACTGCTTGCACCCCGGGGGGTTGGGAGGCATGTGCCCCTGGATCTGCATGGCAAGGGGTGAGCTGCAGAGCTGGTGCTGCGCAGGGCTTTTCTTGCCAGGGGCTGGGCTCGGAGTGGGCTCTGGCGGTGGTGGAAGAAGGCTACAGGCAGCCCAAATTTCGCCACAGATCTGCTCCCAGCCCCACACTGCTGCCCAGCGCAGCACAAGCTTTTCCCAGCACTTGGGTGGAGGCGGGGTGTTCAGGGCGGGCTGTGGCGGGGGGGAGTGAGGGGCTGGGAGCTGCGGTGAAATTTGGGGTCGCTGCCACCTCCTCCCAGCACCACCAGAGCCCACTCCGAGCCCAGGCCCTGGCAAGAAAATCCCCATGCAGTGCCGGCTCCAGCTCCACCCTGCAGCTGTAGCCTACCCTGCTCCATGCAGAGCCGGGGGCACATAACCCCCTGCCCCCCTGGGGTGCAAGCAGTAGCAGGAGCTGCCCCCACCCCACAAGCCGCACCTCTGTCCTGCACCCCACCCACCCTGACCCCAGCTGGCCAGCGCCTGCCCGTGCCCCCCCTACGCCCCTTCCCTCACCTTCCACCACACAGGACTTACCACCTGATGGCAGCTGTATCAGATACCGGATTGGTATCAGCTGATATGTCTCCTTAAATATCGGCTATCGGTATCGGACCCCAAAATCTTTATCGGTGCACCCCTAGTAGCAACATGCCAACTCCTGTACAGGCTGAGAGGTGGCCATAAGAGGTGCTAAGTGGCAGATGATATACATTTCAAAGCCTTCTTCGTTCAGGGCCTTAAAGTGAGTTTTTCTGTAAACTTCGCACTTTGCCTTTGTTTTTAATCATAACCCTGAAATGTTCAGCCAAGGGTTACTAAAGCTTTATTTAATAATTTTATATACAGGTACAAATACTCAACCAATCAGAAGCAGTCTTATTTATAACATATTGGTAAAGCTAACCACCTCCACTGGTTTCCAACTGAGAGGAATAGTCCCTTCCCTGAGCTGGTTAAAAAATATGTATTCAGCAATGAGGCTGTAACTAAGGATCAGTTTCTTCTATTCTGTGTTTGTAGTAAGCCCATCACTGTGTCAATTGTTTTGTCCAACACACATCGCCAGTGTCAGACTACTGTGACCAGAAGACAACAGACAAGCCTTCAGATAGGTACAGTGACTGTTTATTTCTTCTCCTGTAAGTGCCAGTTCCTTACTCAAATGACTTCTTCAGTAGCCAAGGATAAAGGCTTATCATACAGAGGGGCTTACCCAGAGAGGCTTTGAATTTAGTAAAGCTTCAGAGGAATTCTTGCTGTTTAACACCTCTGTTTAGGCCCTGTGGAACTTGAAGTCATTCTCACTTGGCCATCTGGAGACATGCTGTGCTTTCTGCTCGTCTGTCTGGGCCCTGCAGAAGGGCTGTGTGGTCACAGGGGAATGGAAAGTCAAAGAAGTCACCACAAGGAGCTGAAAAGCTACTTACTGCAAATCTGCTGAGGATGTATGCACCAGCTCCAACTCCAATTCCAATGATGCTTTTCAGGCTGAAATACAGATGCTTCAGAATCAGCAGGGTTAATTTAAGCTCAAATCCCAAGTACTTGTGAGTCCTCTATTCCAGTGGCTCTCAAACTTGTTGTACGAGAACCCGTTCGTAAACATCAGTGGCCAGTCCCGACCCAGTACCTCTCAATTCCCAACCCACTGCCCCCCACACCCAGGCGCCAGCCTCCGGGGGGGGGGGGGGGGGCGGGGGGAGAGAGGCACTAATGGCCCCTTGCAGGCTGAAGCTCTGACAGCCTGCAAGGGAAAAGCCACAGTTTCCCAGGTTTTTCTCCTTTAAAGGAGAATCCATTTTTAAAGTGTGTTGATTCATTTTTAAAGTTTGTTCGTGACCCTTTCATATGGTTTTGCAACCCACTTTTGGGCTGTGACCCACAGGTTGAGAAACGCTGCTCTAGTCCACTAGAGGCCAAACTTTTTGGCAGACAAGCCACAAATTGGCCCTGTACCTTCTGATCCCTTTCCCCTGTCCAATCTGCTACTTTGATTTCTGTTCCCCAACCAATTTGCTGCTCTGCTTCCCGCTCCCTGTCCAGTGCTCCTAGCCTCATCTGTTGCTTTGCTTTCTGCTCCCCACTCTATATACCACTGTGCTTCCTGTTCCCTCCCCAATCCATGAAATGCCACACACACACACACACACACACAGGCTGCCTGTGCCACTTTTGGCACCTATGCTGCAGGTTAGCCACCCTCCTCTAGCCCCACTCTTCAGATTGGTCACAGTTCATTTCCCCTTTTATCCTGCTATGGGACATCAACTGCAACTGCCAGTAGAACATGTTTTCCAAAAGAAGTATACCCCAGCTAAGGCTGTGTGAGCTATGAGCTGGACAAGCCTCTTTAGGGCAACCACTGGTTGCAGCAGATCCTCCATAGATGCACATGCAGTAACCAAACAAGTAATTCTGAGTTCCACTGTAGACTTACCTCAGGTGTGTTAGAACAGCAGGTAGCATTTCAGCCAGCTCATCCATGCTAGAGTACTGGTATCTAAAACCCAAGAGAGAAAGAGTCAGAGAACCTCAAAATATGTGATCAGATCTTAAATTAGAATCTACGAAGTCATTCAAAGATAGGAAAGCCAAAGATGGTCCACTTAGCTCAGGGGCGGGCAAAATATGGCCCGTGAGGCCATTCTATCCAGCCCGCGGGCCCCCTAAAAAATTTAGAAAATTAATATTTATCTGTCCTTGGTTCCTGTCAAAAATGACAGGAGCCAGGGGCATTAGGACCCAGGGGGAGTCCTGGAGGACTCCTGCAGCAGCAGGGCCAGCCTGGCCCCGCCCCTCCCAGCCGGAAGCCCCAGAAGCACGGGAAACTCAGGTAAGGGGGAAGGGGTGGAGGGGAAGGGCAGGGGAGGACCCCGGGCAGGGAAGGAGCTGGTGCTGAGCATAGGGAAAAGCAGCCCCTCCTCCACCCCATGGCCAGCACCCCACGCGCTGCAGCTGCTCGCAGCCCATGTGGGGCTGCCTGTGCCTGCTCAGGACAGCCTCGTGTGAGCTGAGAGTGGCTGCAGCAAGGAGTGCTGGCCATGAGGCGGGAGAGGGGCCACTTTTCCCTGCGCTTAGCACCAGCACCCTCCTTGCTGGTGAGCAGGGTGTCAGGACTGTATGCTGTCCCTCACCTGTACCATAGGGCTGGGAGTGAGCAGGTGCAAGAGTCAGTGGGAGCACTGGGCCTGCATCGGTGTCCCGGGGTCAGTGCTGGCGGGGCTCAGAGCAGGGCGGCAGGAGTATGGGGGTCCCGGCTGGCAGGGGCTCTGTGGAGCCAGGCCAGCTCCCCCCTCTCCCTGCTGGTGCAGCCCAGCTCGGCTTCAGTCTCCTGCCAGCCTGCACCCCGCTCTGGGCCCCACTGGTGCTGGCCCTGGGACATGGTCCCAAGACAGTAACCGGGGGCAGGGCACCTGTTAAAGGGCAGGGCTACCCATACAGCCCTCTACAGCTTGCTAAAACTGGGTAAGCGGCCCTTCACAAGAAATAATTGCCTGCACCTGACTTAGCACATACCCAAATGCTCTTTTTGCAGGGACTCTACAGAATGTCTATACATTATGGATCGTATTCCTTGAAGCCACAATGTAGAGAGAACTGTAGGATGTGGCATGTATATCAGAAGAACAAAGGATAGAAAGGTAGAGCTGTGGTACTCAGTGGTACTCAACCTTCCTACCCTGCATGATAGGTAAGTGGCATGGGGTCAGTTTGTGGGCCAGATCTCATGGGTGGGGTTGGTCCACAGGACAGATCCAGCATTAAACTGGCAAGTGGGGTTGGTTCACAGATGCAATCTGCCACACAAGCCCAGCCTGGTCCCACATGCTGGATCTGGCTGTGGAGCAATCCTGAATACTGGCCTGACCTCACACACACGATTTGGTCACAGAGTGACTCTGTGTACTGGCTTGGCCCCACGTGCTAAATCTGTGTGTGGAGCACCAGCATTAATTGCTGTCACTGCTCCCTCAGTGCCAAATATCTGCACTCATGGGGAGCCCCATGAACTAGATGATACAGCCCTGTGGGCTGGAGGTGAAGCACCCTGCTTTATACCATTTGTACAGTATTTGAGGTCTCTTAAGAGCATGCTCTAAATCAGAAAGCTACCACCAGCATTAGCTATTACTGATGTAATCGACTTCTCTGCCTCAGACAGCACAAGCCCTGTGAAGCTGTAGTGATCCCTCTCCTCCGGTGGCTGGGCATGCACCCATTTCTGCCAGTGTGGGGAGGAATGTTGGCATCTCAACAAAATTGGGGTTTGAGAAATCTCTAGACATGACAAGGGGCTTCCTGAAGTTCTTACCCAGATGGGAAAGGGGGAGCCCCTTCCTGCTGGCCTGGTGCATCCACATGGCATACAGCGAAGTGCCGGGTGATTTCCTGCATGTCTTCAAAGTTGAAGAATGCATTAAAACAGGATTTGTCTGCAAGACATAATAACAAATCATGAGCCCCTATCACTGCCCTAAACCCCACTATGATGCATCTTTCAAACAGCAGTACCATCTACCTGCACCAATTCCCCAATGCACTGCTCTGCTCTGCATCATTTGGACGCTTAACAGCTTGGGGCATGCTGTGATTTAGGAATAAGTTCAATTCCAAGCAACTGCAATCTAGGAAGCAAACAGTGCCAAAACAGCAGCCAGGACAGCTAGAGTGGAGTCTAGAGGGCAGAAATAATCCCTCACTAGTACCACTGTCCAGCCAACTCCACTGCACAGCATACATCAGTGCAAACAGATACCCTGTCTATAGCAGCAGTTCTGAGTCTTTTCAGTCAGGGCACCCCTCCACTACATTTTTAATATGGCAGCACCACTGCTGGTGCTGTCTCAACTTCTCAACTGGATGCTGCTGCTGCCAGATAAATTGCCCCATATGCCTGCTGCACAGCCAGTCCGGAAAGGGCATGTGCCATGTGCGCATGCTCCTCCTGCATTAGGGCTCTCTGATAAACCTAAAGCAGAGAGAGCTGGCTCAGACTGTAGACTTTCCTGGCGTGACCCTCCCCATGCTCCTCCCTAAAGCAGAGGTGCAAAGGTAGAACTGTCCTATATGCCTCTGCTTCTTGGAGAAAGGAATCAGAACTCATAGTTTCATAGATGTTACGGTTGGACGGGACCTATTAGATCATTGAGTCTGACCCCCTGCCCCAGGCAGGAAAGATTGATGGGGTCATCTGACCCCAGCCAGGTGTCTGTCCAATCTTCTTTTAAATACCTCCAAGGAAGGGGACAGCACCACCTCCCTTGGAAGCGTATTCCATATTTTGGCAACCCACACTGTAAAGAATTTTTTCCTGATGTCCTGATGATTTTTGGAAAAAAAAAAAAAAAAAAAAAAAAAATTGCAAGCTTGTGGGCACAAGCACCTTTCTTCAGTCATAGAAGAAAAGATCATAAAAGTTCTCCTGCTTCTTGGAGAGACATTTGGGTGGGGGATGGGGAGGAGCTGGACTGGGAAAGGCCTTAGCCAGCTGTGTCTACTTTCAAGTTATCAGAGAGCCTTAATGCAGCAAAAGTGTGTGTGTGCTGCACTTTTGCCTGGCTGTCACCACTGCTATGGCAGTGTCTGCATTGCAGCACCCCTGAGGGGGTTTCGTGGCACCCCTGCAGCGCATTGTCTTCTAGTGGGACTCAGTATTGCCCCACTAGACTGTAACTGGTGTCTGACCAGCTGCCACATGAAACTGGACCTTCACATGACTGATGAAACAATGTAAGCAAGTGCATGTGAATCTTTTAGTGCAGCAAAACTTACGGTTAAGGCCAATGTCATGGTAAGTAAGGATAACAGGTCTGTTCCCTTTTGGGGTGCCCTGCATGGTGACATGCACAACTCCAAAAGCAGTCTCAACGTTGTGCTCCTGCAGAAAGACAAGAACAGAAGCCTAGCTGCTCTGTATGATGAACAATGCTAGTAGACTCCTGCTGAGAGCTGTAGGGAGTCCCAAACATGGACAGTAGCCCTTGGCAGGAGACTTGGGCCATGTTTCACATTTAAATGGCTCTCTCCACAACTTGTCACTAGTATAGGCTAAAACCCAAACCTAGCTTGCAGCTCCTCTGAGTATACAGACAGACTACCAACTGAAATGTTTCCAAGTGAAACATGTTTGTTATAGGTTATGTTACCACAACATCTAGCATTATGAGGCTCTGACCTCTATGTACTACTGCAATATTAACTTATAAAAAGTCTCTCGCTGTGTCAATTCACATAACTGAACTGTTCCAAAATGTCACTGGGGCAGGGGAAAGGGGATTATTGGTGAGTTTTAAGATGGCTGAAGAGTCAAAACTGTGCTTTGCAAGTTTTTCCACTGATACAATAGGTGGTGCCTTGGGGGGGGGGGGGAGACAGCTGTTTTCTAGGATGTTGTGTACTTCCTTTCTCCTCTGCCATTTCTTGGCTTTCTGAGCAAGACGGTTCTCTTTGAAGTGGGCTGTAGCTTGATGTATATAGTGCAGCACCATTGAGACCTGTTACCAGCCAGGACTTCCTAGTCTGTACGGTTGATGCCACCCTTCTTGAGGTATGCTTTCAGGGTGTCCTTGTAGCACTTCCACGGGTCCTCTTATCATGACTGAGTTGACAGAAGAGGACTTGCTTCAGGAGACAAGTGTCAGCCATCCAGACACAGCAGCCAGCCCAGCAGAGTTAATGTTTCATGATCTTTGCCTCAATGCTGGTTATGTTAGCTGCAGAGAGGATGCTGGCATTGTGCAGTGGTCTTCCCATCTAATGTGAAGGATCTTCCTGAGGCAACGCTGGTGGAACCACTCCAGAAGCTTAAGATGGCTTCAGTATGTCACCCACGTCTCACACCCATAGAGGAGCATGGAGATAACCACTGCATTGTAGACCATGATCTTAGTTTCCATCTGCAGATCTCGGTTGTTAAAGACACAGCAAAGCATCTTTCCAAAGGATACACTGGCACAATATGTTTGGCACAGCTATGTTTGATTTCTACATCAAGACTAACTAACTAAGAGAGGTGGCTGCCAAGGTATGGGAAGTGCTTGACATTTTCCAGGGGCTCTCCACCAATGGTAATTTGTTGGGGGGGGCAGCTTGTGCTGGGGCAGGCTGATGAAGCACCTTGGTCTTCCCAATATTAAGGGAGAGTCCCAGGCTATGACAGACACCTGAAAAAGGTCAAGGGTGGGCTGCAGATCAGTCTCAGTGTGCACAAGGACAACAGTCATCAGCATCTGAAAGTTGGTGATGCCAGTCTTGGTAACTTTCATTTTGCAATGAAGGAGCTGCAGGTTGAAAAGCTGACCGTCCATTCGATACTCAACCCCAATTCCGGGAGGAAGGCGGTCATGGATGAAAATCAAAATCACAGCAAGATAGATGGAGAAAAGGATTGAGGCGGTGATGTAGTCCTGCTTGACACCAGTATGGATGGTAAATGGGTTTGTCTCTGATCCACTGACAAGGATGGTGGTGGTCCCATCATGTAGTAGCCTGAGGATGCTGATGAACTTCAGTGGACAACCAAACCTAGCCAGCACCTCACAGTAGCTTGTAACTGACTAAACTCTGCAGTGTGCTTACCTGAGTTGGGATGAGGGAGAGTGCTTGGACCCATGCTTTGGGGGTCCCAGGAATTGGGGCATGATGAGCATTTGTGGTTGACTAAGGGAGTAAGAATACAACTGGTTGTTAGAAAGGTTGCTTTTATTGAACAAGCAATGTAAGGCAGTTCTTTGATAAAAAAGTGTGAACAAAATGAAAGAAAAAGGGACAGCAGAGTTTTGAGTGGCCAGCTGCAGCAGTTGGGGGCGGGAAGAGGGGGAGTAAAGAACAATGGAGATTCCTGGAAGATTGACTAGGGTGTGATAACGATGACAAAGTGACAGAGTTCAAGATCCTAAGGGATGGACTGGATTTCAAAAAAGCAGACTAACAAACTTCAGCACAAGGGGACAGAGTCCCCTGGGAGGCAAGTCTGAGGGGGGAAAAGAGTTCAGAAGAGGTAGCCATACTTTAAGGAGGCTGTACTAAGGGCATGGGAATTACCCTGATGCAATGGAAGAATGGAAAGTGCAACAGGAGACCAGCCTGGCTAACCAGCAAACTCTTCAGTGAGTTGAAACTCAAAAAGAAATTCTAAAGAAAGTGGAAACTTGGTCATATTACAGGCAGTTTTGACTTACGGCATTTCGACTTACGGCGCTCCGCAATTTACACCCATGTTATTACTTATGGCACTGGATTCTCGCACTTATGGCACTACAGGGCAATTTACAGTGAGAAAAATAGAGCAGCAAAACAAACATCCCTGGATCAGTTTCTCAAAAAGCCATCAAGTAGCCCTAAGTCTCCCCAAAAATCTCCCCAAAGAAGCCCTTCTGAATTCCATGACCCTGATGAAGGTATTCCTTCAACTTCTGATTAAATCAAATTTTATGTGATTAGTTACTGTATTACCCTGTTTAATCGATTTATATACAGTACACTTTAGAATGCTTTGTACTGTACAGTGTATATCATTTATAGTTGATTAAATAGTTGATTTAAATATGGTGTTTATGGTCATTTCTATAAAAAGTTGGGCATCAGGCCCTTGGTCAGGAATGTAACTCCCTATTATAACATTATTTCTATGGGAAAATCAGATTTGACTTGCATCATTTCAATTTACAGTGCCTTTTCCAGGAACGTAACCCACTATCAGTGCGAGGACTGCCTGTACTAGGGATGAGTATAAGAGTATCACATGGGCATTTAGGGAGAAAAATCAGGAAGGCCAAGACATGATTTAAGATGCAACTGGCAAGGAATGAAAAAGGGGTTCTACAAGTATGTCACAAGTAAGAGAAAGATCAAAGAAAGTGTATGTCCCTTACTGAATACAGGAGGCAACCTAGTTATGGATGATGCAGACAAAGCTGAGGTTTTAAATGCTTTTTTTAACTTCAGACTTCAAGAATAGAGTCAGCTACCAGATGAAAAGCAAAATTGTAGTCATTAATGATAAGGAAGGAGACAGCCTAAATTTGTGGAAGAACAGGTTAAGGACTATTTACAGAAACTAGATGCTTTCAACAGGGCAGGGCTGAATGGGATATACTCTAGGGGGCTGAAGGAATTGGCTGAGATAATTACAGAGCCATTGGCTATCCTCTTTGAGAACTTGCGGAGCTCTGCTGAGGTCCCAGATGATTGGACAAGGGCAAATATTGTGCCTATCTTTCAGAAAAAGAAAGAAAATCTGAGGAATTACAGAATAGTCAATCTGACCTTGATGCCTGGACAGACCATGGAGCAGAACCTGAAAGAATCTATTGTGAGGCACCTAGAGGAGAACAAGGTGATCAGCAGGGATTCTAGTTTTCTCTGTTTAAAAATAGCATATTATCTGATAAAAACCCAGCAAATTATCTGATTAACCCCCCACCACCTCATTTTTCCGTGATTAAAATGAAACACCACTACATATATAGGTATTAGCTGAACACAATGTTTTGTTGATATATTTACAATTTTAAAGCAATGTGGAAGCCTGCCAGTGCCTCAATCACTATAATAAAATAAACTGTAATTTCCTATATATTTTGGCATTTGATTTTGGGTTTTTATCATGGAAAATCAGAGCTCCCCCTGTCCCCTTCACACACCAGGATGCAGGTCCAGCTGCAGCTGTCCCCTCCCCACTTCTTGTGGTGCTTAGCAGCCCTGATATGCCAGTACCTGCCTATGCCATTGCCTCTCACTCCCCAACCACAGCCTCCCACTCCTGCTGGTGCCCCTCACTCCCCAGTCACAGACTCCCAGCCCTGCCAGTGCCCCTCACTCTCTACCTACAGTCCCCTAGGCCCTGCTGGTGTCCCTCACTCGCCACCCATGGTCCCCTGGACCCTGCCGGTGCTCTTCACTCCCCATCCACAGCCCCCTGGCCCTGCTGGTGCCCCTCACTCGCTATCCAAAGCTCCCCCCTGCCACTGATGCCCCACACTCCCCACCCACAGCTCCCCCCAGCCCTGCTAGTGCCACTCATTCACTACCCATGGTTCCCTGGACCCTGGTGGTGCCCCTCCCTCCCCACCCACAGCTCCCCAACACCCCCAGCCCTCCCAGAGGGGACCTACAGCTTCCAGGGCTATGGGGCCAGGGACGTGGGTCTGCAGCACCCTGTCCCTAAGAGCAGTGCCTGAGACCCAGCTGCCACCCATGGGAGGTGGTGGCTGCTGTGGCAGAGTGGAGCATGGAGCCAGGCTTCCCTTCCCCTATGGGTAGCATGGCAGGAGTGAAGCCTGTGGGATGGGGGGTGGGGGGGGCGTGGGCTGCCCACTGTGGGCTCAGGGCTCCCCACCCTGCTGTCCTCCCCCTGGAGCCTCCGTGGCCCAGCGAGTGAGACTCAGTGTGTCAGGGCAGAGTGGGACCAGGCGGGAATTAAGAAGCCATGGTGTAGATGGGGTGTAGGGGAGGTGTAGATGGGGTGTAGGGGAGGAGGAGCCCCACAGAGAGTTTTTGCCAGGAAGTCTGAGATCATCTCCCTGGGGAACCAACTCCCAAGCAAAAGAAAAAAAAAGGAACACCAAAGTCATGGTAGAAAAAAAGGCAACATAGGAGAGTGACTAAATGAGGTAACAATAGCGCCTCCTTAGCCCAACCACACACAGGGAAGACATCACCACATCGAGGACCTAGGCCTTACAGCACCTCTCATCGACAAACAGGAACTGGAAATAAACTAGTTTACCTTTTTTGAAGAGAAATATTTATCCCAAACATTTATACCGAGCCCAACCCCAAGATTCTCTTGCCCAACCTCATGCTCTCCTTTTCGGTCTGTGCTCCCGACTGATCTGCTTTTTGATTCCTGTCCTTTCTGTTGCTATGTTGCCTGTC